TTGCTATTGCTATTGCTATTGCTCTTGACCCCTTGAATGAGGTCGAGCCCCACTAAGGTTGAGTGTGTTGTGTTTTTAACCTGCTTTGTTTTTCTTTACTTTTTAAAACTTTTTAGTACTTTTTAAATTGTTCTTTTATGTAAGCCGCCCGGAGTCCTTCGGGATTGGGCGGCATATAAGTTTATTAAACTTAATTAAACTTAGAGAGCCAGGTGAGCCCAAAACAATATTTTTCTAAGGAATGCCTCTCCTGCATAGACAGAGCTGAGCTGAGCTTGACATTTCAGTGCGTTCTTTTGAGGAGCAGGACTGAGAACTGGGGGAAACAAAAAAAACAACTATACCCCCCTGGCTGCCCTCCCTAGCTTTCAAAGTTAGTGGTGCCATTCACACCACGTTCTAAACTTAAAAATAGAAATAGAATTAGAAACAGAATAGAATAGGAATAGAATCCTAGGGCTGGAAGGGACCTTGGAGATCTTCTAGTCCAACTCTCTACTCAAGGCAGGAGCCTCAACCCAGTGAAATGGTTGTGCAGTGCAACTTGGTAAATTTAAACCAGAGGGAGGGTCAGGGAGGGTGTTAGCTTGTTGTGTGAATCCAACTTTGTTAGTTGAGGATTTGGTGCATGCTGTGAAACCCGCAAATTGACTTAATTCAATAACAAGGTCAATGGTGTTATGGGAGCGTAAGCACAACACAGGGAGTCCTCGATTTATAACAGGTCATTCAGTGACCATTCAAAGTTACGACAGCACTGCAAAAAGTGACTGATGGCCATTTCCCACACATAGGATCGTTGTCGCATCCCCATGGTCATGCGATCAAAATTCAAACACTTGGCAATTGACTCGTATTTATGACGGTCGCCGTGTCCGTGTGCATGTCACGTGATCCTCTTCTGTGACCTTCTGACAAGCAAAGTCAATGGGGAGGTCGGATTCGCTCAACAACCATGTGACGAACTAAAAAACTGCAGTGATTCACTTACCAACTGTGGCAAGAAAGCTGATAAAATGCGGCAAAATTCACTTCACAAATGTCTCACTTAGCAACAGAAATGTTGGCCTCAATTGTGGTCATAAATCGAGGACTCCTGTACAAGCAGAGGGACGTTCCATAATGACTCTCAGCCCTTCTGTTTGGCCCACCTGAAGCTGGGGGTCAAGACCTCTGCTGAGGCCAGGCTGATGGGAAGGGGTCCCTGGCCAGGAAGGGGATAGGGATGGGGTCAGTGGTGAAGTTCAAATGTATACTGTAAAATCCCCATTCCCTTCCGATCAGCTGGGACTCGGGAGGCAGAGAATAGATGGGGCGCGGCCAGCCAGAGGTGGTGTTTGCCAGTTCTCCAAACTACTCAAAATTTCCGCTACTGGTTCTCCAGAACTGGTCAGAACC